ACAATTATTTCTCATCTTCATGAATATTTCTTTTAAAGAATATGACATTTATTATAACGATCACTCGTCATCAGCCCCTAATCGACCCCTTCATCATCCTATTCTATTCCCTCTACCGACCCCCATTGGAACCCTTGACTTACGTGCTAACTCACTAAATGATTCTGTGAAAAGAAGTACTGGAAAAGGTGATTTTGTTCGGCGACATTTAATCTCTCCTAGGAACTCTCCTTATCATATTTATCAACATTCCCTAAAAAATGCTTCAACTTCAATACTTATGAAGCATTTCATAGGTGTAGTAGTTCGTAACAGCCTTCTCAGATATTCTGGTTTTAAACCCAAATGTTATACAATAAAACACATAATTAAAAATGCTTATCATAACGTAACTTGTGCTTTTATTGATATAATTAACTGTTACTAATTAAAAAGTAGCTCAAATCATGTATGTCATTTCAAAAAAATCTGTGAAATTTTATTCTAATCTTACCTTATAAAGAATGCTTATTCAGCCGTTATTACAAGTCACTCTGTCAGTTCTATAACGAACAGCAATGAATCAGTAGTACTGAGGATGAACTCTCACAGCAGACTCGGCGCTTAGTAGCTTCTACAGACAGATCGCGCTTTGACTGCTGAGTCAGATTTCGCACTGGCATACCAAGTGGGCTCCAAGCAGACGCCGCCGTCAGCTCTCACGCTCCTCTGCGCGAACTGCGGAGATGTTTAGCCAAAGCGCGATTTGCGCCCAACGGGCCAACGGCGCGACGTCTCTATTTTTAGCTAGCTTCCGCTAAACACTGTCCGCTAGGGGAGATTATTGTGAAAACGATGAATTTAACATCTTAGGAGGTGAGAGTATAGCTCTGAGATCAAGGAACACAAAATTCGGATTGAATGAAAATGTGGCTTTTAGGTATGTTTAGACAGGCCATGCGTTGCGAAATATTTTATGGTGGACATTGACTTGAATGATTTTCACTCTTCAACCCAATGTAAAGTTAATATAATTTGCGTTTTTATTATTTACAGTATTATTGTAAATTATTATAGAGAAATGTGAATAAGATGTACTAATTAATGAATCAATTCAAAGTAAAATTGTCATTAAACTTTAATAATATTGGATTAATATTAAACATAGAATAGAGCAAAGCATCGTTCATGTCATCGTTTACAGTATATTTATAATTATCCCTACTAAAAGTCTAAAGAAAAAATTGGAACCGTTTTTGAGAAATATTTGTTTTTGTTATTATTAACTTGTTATATATTTCACTAAATATTGCACGAAAATTACTAAATTTGTCAAAAAATGGACATGACATTAACGAAAGAAGTAATTATGAAGTGCAAATTTAATTTGAAGGAAAATCTCTATCTTCAATTTTGTAGTTATAGGAAGGCGCCAAAAAATCAAAATTTCGCAATTTTTAAAAATTTAGAGTTAATGAGAAGATTGAACCTACTTCAGCAAGCTTTACAAGTATTTCATTCTATTGTTACAAGAATTTTAAAGAAAGAATTTGGAGCCATTTTTTCTGAAAATTATGAACACGACCCAGGAGCTTTATGTAAAGAACCTTCCAAAATTAAAGAATGCTTTTAAAAATCGAAGAGCTTTGAGTTGAGCCAGATCGTCCGGGGAATATCTATCTAGGAAAATCTCCTCTTCATAGTTCATGCACTAGCATTGTTCACAAACGGCAGAGAAACAAACACACAGACGGACGGACATTTTGAAAAAAAATACTTTTTCGGTCCAAGGGGACCCCAAAACGCGGCGTAATTACAGTGAAGACGCAATTATCTGTGGCTCCCGGACACAAGGGGCCCCCAAAAGCTTTTTTTTTCAAACGGAACTAACTTTAGGAGCCCCTTCTGAAAGTGATTTATTTATGACCATAAATCGACTAGTGTAAAGTTTCAATTACCTACTGACTTTACTATGAGGACGCGACGATGTTTTCCAAATTTGTAATTTAGCATCCTGGGTATCCTATTATTTATTGTTTCATTTAAAACTGGGCAGACCCACAACTGTGTCCTACTAGATGGTCCAGCAGAAATGATTCCTTTTTGGCTATTCGGATTAGATATGCTGATGTTTTGCAATTTTTCCCAAAAATAATTTAAAAAAGCGAAAGTGCATCCGAGGGAGTAGATGCGTACTTGTTTAAAATAGAAATTGAGTCGGTCGGGTTTGTATTCCAAATTGTATTGTACTAAACAATTTTGATTGCAGACTAAATCTCGGTCTCAAAATCTGCAAAAATATGATTTTGATCTTTGCCAAGCATGGGATTTGTTTAAGCACTTTGCAATGATCTAAAAAATATTTTATAGGTTCTTTGACAAAGCCAAATCCGATGCAATTGAGTCGGATACTTTTGGGTTATAAAAGTTGCGTTTTGCGAGAAACGTGTAAAAAAAAAAGAAAAGGAGCCATGGACTGTTCGACTGAAAAACGGTTGAATGTTAATGTATACTTCGCTTCTTTAGATATTGTGATTGGTCAGTTGTGCCGTCGATTTATTGGTTTGAATCAATAATCGATTCGTTTGCGATCAATCAGGCACAAACTTTACTGCAGCTTTCAGATGAAGAATTTGGAAATCTATGCGAAAAATTCAGCGAGAAATACTATGACGTAACTGATTAAATGCTATAAACCCAGCTATTATCCTTGCGTAGTTGTCTGAGAGATCGAATTTGGAAAGTCATTCAATCTGAGATGTGGCTAAATCGGTTCTGATTGAGTACATCACACTTTCAGCTAACATTCCAGGCAACTGCACAGTGCACGTTGCTCTTTCTAACGTTGCATGTGGCGATTGTGACTGCAGAGCAATCTTTTTCAAAATTTAAAATTATCAAAAATTTCCATAGCACGGGTGGTATTTCATAGGGGTATTCCACAAATGGAATTACATCCAACAGAGTTCTAAAATGTGCCAAATATTGAAAATAACTGAAAGCAAGTTATGCGGTTATGTTATAGTACAGTACATAGCTCTGAATATGGGTGATGCTCTATGCAGCCAAATCTGGCTTATCCACAGTTTGTACACCCACGGCTGGACACTTGACCAATCCTGAAGTCTAGACAAAGGGGCCTTTATCATTGGCTTTGGCTCCAAGTTTCTGACACTTCCCCCTTCCCTCCTCACGAAGATTCTTCTCCTCGTTATCTCAAAGGGGCGGAGCGATTTCTCAGGTGTAAATGACGTCGGTGACGCTGCCTCGCTGGGGGAGAGAGAAGTGATTGGTAAGTGCGAGAACCAACTGGCCAATTGCGGCAAGGCATGCGAACATCGACGAACCACGCGGCAGTATGTCGGGTAGAGGAACTATGGCATTTTTTCGAATTCTTTACCGTTAAAATTAAGACTAATTTATGATATATATATATATATATATATATATATATATATATATATATATATATTACTGCGAGAAATTTTGTATCAGAATACACTGATAGTACAAACAAAATTTGTTTCTTATAAAAGAATTAAAATGTTAATGGTTGCAAAGGACACAAAATGTAGTATAATTATTTGCAGGAAACACACAACAATATAATACATTATTTAATATTATTTAATGTATAGACATTGCCTATCAAGGATAATGAAATTCATTATCGTATTTTTAAAACAATTTCAATTTTGACATTATTGCATTATTATCAATATGAAGCAATTGGTACGGGTTATGGGATTGAAATCACCCACTTTTTCTATATGAGCATTGTTTAACGAAAACAATGTTTTCGTAAACAATTAAATATCACTAACGGATTTCTCAAGTAAAGAATCATTGCAATATCGTAATTCTTAATATTGCTTACACAGTTTTAATATCTTAAAATGTTACGAATCGGTGTGTGTTTTTTATCGAGCTATTAAGACAAAGAACGTATCAAAATACTCTTTAAAGAAATCCGGTGTTTGTCGTTAAAAATATTAATAGTTTGATTTTCCAATTAAACGGAACAGTGTTCTCGAATGTATTATATTCCCAACTTAGTTTAAGTTTCAGTATGATCCCAGAAACAGTGACTGGAGTATTAAACTCGATTGAAGAAGCTCTCTTGTAATCCAAAAAATTCCGGGAACCTTGACTAGGGGTATTGAAGAAAGACACTGTTTTAATCACAGAAACACATCATCCTTGTTTTCTAATATTAAATTGTGAAATACGTTTAGCTATTGTAAACACCAGTGTTTCAATGAACTCACAAGTCAGAGATTCCGGAAATACATCTCCTTTTTTTTATTATTTACACAAAACTCGATTTCATATCATCTTAAATTATCTGAAAGAAATGTGCAACGTACTCAATATTTGGACTCTTGACAATTGCATAGTACAATATTATTGGCAAAACTGTCTGAAAATATGTGACGGATGTATATATTGTTTTTCGATCAGATGATTATGAATAGGGTTTAAGGACGCTTCAGAGTCTAAGGTCATTGGACCTCATGCTAATTGGTATTTAGAACATAGATCCAATGTGTCAGTGGTCAGTTAAAATATTTTTATTAATAACAAGATAAAATGTGTATATAGTAAAATATGACTAATTGTAAAATAAAATAACTGACAACGACAATGTTACTTGAAATATGCAAAATCGGTTTATAAAAGGCATGTTAAAAATTATCCTCCTACCTGACTAGATTAAAAAGTGTATTTTCTTGAAGAAAGTTAAAGACTTTGCAGAAAGAAAATCCATTGTTACCCAGCATCTCCTTCAGAGTGTCGGCAAGGCAAGGACGTCTTCCAATACTTCTTAAATTATTCCAGTGCACGTGAGCATGCAACACGTTAAGGTCGATTCTTCATTCACTGCGCAAGAAGATGACCTTTCGAAAGTGGAGAATTACCACCTCACGACTTGAGCTACGAGGTGACGAAGACCAGTGCTGTATGGAGGTCTTGATCCTCGTTTGTTTCTTATTTATTTATTTATTTATTTTTCTCCTTACTTTGCCGCACTTGTTTGTTTTGGCTTGTGGGCTTGCGTATGTTGCGTTTTTTGACGCCCCCCGAGCTGTGCGAACGCCACGGATTGGGGTTTTGAACCCGTGGCGCCGGGGCTGACGGGACATTGCCGGCCCGTTTGGCCTGTTTTGTCTTCTTCTTGTCCGCGTGTTTGTAGTCGGAGATTGTTGTTTATTGTCGCGCCCCTTGCCCGCGGGGTTTTGGTCCGCCGCCCCTTCGCGTCAAGCGGTCTTTTGTTGTCTGTGCAGTCCCAATTTATTTTTTTTTTTTTCTCGTACATGTTTCGCCGTTCCGCTCTCCTACTTGTTAGAAGTTTCATGCTGCTGGCGTCACTTGGCATTTTGCCTATTTCCGGCTGCTGTTTCGGGTTCTCCATACTACCGACGTTTTTGTTTGTACGTCTTCTGTTCGCTCCGTTCCTGGAACCCCCTACCTTCCTACACACCCTTCGTCGGTCCGTCGCCTTTTTGCCCCCCCTGCCCCCTTCCCTTGGCTGCTCTGGCCGCTCCGACGGTCTTGCCCTTTCTAACAAATGCCATATCTTTCCATCTTCAGGGACTTTTCTTTAAAATCTTCGGGACATTCTAAAAAATAAATTCTCCACCAAATGTTCCCTTACTTGTGTACACTCTTGTAAAGCACATAGTGTGCCATAATCCGTGATGAAAATCACTAGGTCGATTTGCACTATGATTCTGAATTTTTGCAAAAATTACCGAAGAACGAAATTATTTCGGCGTCGACAACCACTACAAAATTGAAAATGGAATTATTTTAGAATGTTCTAAATCTTCAAAAAGAGTGACTATTTTAATAATATGATGCAATATTAATTGAGAATATTAGTAGTTTTCGGCTCATTTGAACAGAAAATTCGAGAATATTACAAAGTTTTAAAAAATTTTTTTTCCTCAAAAAGCCATTGAATATTTGGCTTAAACATTTAGGTAGGAATAGTGCAAAATTATACTGATACAGGATTTTCAAGCAATTTTGATAGTTTTTTTCTTCAAAATTTACACAATATATTTTTCCTGATACACTTTTCCACGTGTTAATATTACGTTTTACGAGTGTTTTTTAACCATTATTGCTTTCTGAGTGCAAGTGCATAAAGTGATACATGAATCTGTTGTAATCGCATAATATTCATGATGGATGAAACTAAGTAAATGTAAAATGACTCAAAATTGCTACGACACTCTCAAAACGCTCAAACTACGTTTTTTTTTGTTTTTTTTTATTAGAATTACTGTTCGATTTTTCATGAGAATTTGTATATCTCAAATTCTTACCCTCTTTTATGATGTTCGGATAAGTAGTATTTAAATTCAACTTTTGGGGGATGAAATTGAAGAAAAGTGAAGAACAAATAAGCGCCCATATGTAGCTTTCTGAAAGAGGGTTTGGGAAAACGACAGTAACAGACACAGATTAGAAGCAAGTAGTCGAGAAGTTCGTGCCGTTTTCCATAGACATACTCTGGTTGTATTTATAAAAGGGAAAGGAAAAATCCGCGTATAGAAAGTAAAGTCTGGAGCATAGCAGGTCATTATTGAGAGATTTTTCCAAAAGCAGTATCCATTGGCAATGTCTATATGAACTAATAACACTTGCTCTATATTTTATATTCGGAGTATTATGTAATTAGAGTCGAACGTGCACCGTGAGGAATATTTGAACCTAGGATTCCGATAAAAGTCGCAATGGCATCTTAGAATAGGACTGTTTATATATATCGACTAAAAGAAAAACCACTCTGTACAATCAATCAATTCTTCCTGTGTTTCTATTTATATTTTAAAACGAACAGTCTTATTTTCTCGGTATTTATGATAATGGTCAGCAAATTACAATTTTTGCTGCTGGCACTTCAATATTTCTCAGACGAATCAGATCTGGAAAAATTACTATTAAACTATTTTTACAATGAATACGTTTTTATAAAATATAATTTGCTATAAATAGTATCAATGCCATACGAATGTTTTTCATGGAATGAAAAAAGCATGCGCGCAAAAGAATTTGAACACAGCCTCTAATTTTCAACACTCTGAAATGCCATTTGTGCGAACAAGATCGGCTAGTAATCATATTTCGATAATATATGACATTGTCCAAAATACTCAAAATCATGCGATAGCTTCTAACGTTTGAGAAACGTGTGCGTGAGA